CCCGGGGCACGGGCCACATGGCCCCCCCCACGGGGGAAAAAAAAAAAAAAAAACCAGCCAAACCAAGAGGTATCCAATGGCAGAGACTGAGAGGGGAGGGGTATCCAGGGCTCATAAGGAATTACATACACTTTCTACATGTCACAAAAGCGAATCCAAAATGGATCATAAACAAATACGTAAAATACAACGCCATAAAATGTCTTGATTAAAACAATATACACCAACTAAAACAATATGTATATTTGAGTTTGTCACCCAGGAAAGCAGAACGAAATACCTTATCTCCAAATTCTATAAAGCTTTATGAAAGGTCGACAAACCGGAAACAGCTGATGCAATATTGGAGAGCAAGTCCGAAGACTGGCTTCCCCATTCGGGGCTCACCATGCGGCTGTGGTCAGGACAGTGCGATGGTGGCCAGAGAACGGAGAGCCAGGGCAGCAGAGCGGACGGGCTGCCCAGAGGTACAATGACCTGAGTGCAGCTGCGTGGTCTTTGACGAAGAAGCAAAGGCAATCCAGTGGGGAGAGGACGGTCTTCAACAAATGGTGCTGGAGTGAAAACAAAAACACTAGATAATACCTTATACATTTCACAAAAACTACCTCAAAATGGATCACAAACAAATATGTGAAATGCAAAACTATAAAATTTCTTGATCTCCTGGAACATGGGAGAAAACTTGGATGACCCTAATTTGGACACCAAAAGTGTAATCCACAAAAGAAGTAGTTGATAAGCTGGACTTTGTTAAAAAGAACTACTTTGCAAAAGTCAAGGTCGAAAGAAGACAAGCCACGCACTGGGAGAAAATATTTGCAAATGATACATCTGACAAGTGACTATCACCCAAAATACACAACGAACACTTAAAGCTTAACAATAATAAAAGAAATGAGCTAGCTGAAAGCGTACGGGCAAAGGTCTTCCCAGACACCTCACCAAATAAGGTATGCAGATAGCAAAGAAGCTCAGCATCACTGCAGTTAGGAGACTGCAAATTAAAATGGCAACTAGAAAACCCCGCACGCCTACTGGAATGGCTAAAATCCAAAACACTGACGTCATCAACAGTAGCGAAGATGTGGAGCGAGGACTTCTCATTGCTGCTGAGTGTGCAAAATGGTGCAACCACCGTGGAAGACAGTTTGGCAGTTTCTTACCAAACAATAGCTACTCTTACCATCTGATCAAGCAATCACACTGCTCGGTATTTACTCAAGTGAGTTAAAAACTTTTGTCCATACAAAAACCTGCACATAAATGTTTACAGTAGCTTTAATCATAATTGCATCTAAAACATTCTTCGGAAGGTGAACGGATAAACTCTGCCCATTCAGACAGGGGATTGTTATTCAGTGGTAAAAAGAAATGAACATTCAAGTCCATTTTCAAACTATGAAACAGAATAAAGATAAAACAAATGCATATTTCTAAGTAAAAGAAGTCAATCTGAAAAAGCTACATGCCGTACGTGTTGGACAACACAACATAGTGGACAAGAACGGGGACAGTGAGAGTGTCAGTGTTTACCCGAGACTGAGGCGAGAGGGCCAGATGCAGCTCAGGGCACGGAGACTGCTCTAACGGAGCAGGGAAAGCGCGAGATATGCATTCGCTGACGCCCTGGGAACACCCAACATCAGGAGGGTGCCTCAGGTAAACTACGGACCCCAAGTGAAGACTCGATGCCCATGTAGGTTTCTCAGTTGTAACAAGCACAATCTCCAGTCAGGATGATGATGGTGAGCACATTAGCCAGGGTTCTCCATGGAGACAGAACCATCCAAGAAGGAAATGCATGTGTGTGTGTTTAATGCACAAGCGTGAATGCGTGTATGTGTGTGTGTTTAATGCACAAGTGTGTGTGTGTGTGCTCACACGGGAAGGGGCTTATTGTAAGGAGTTGTCTCACGTGATTAAGGGGGACAAGTCCTGCTATCTGGAGGCTGACTCAGCAACCTGGAGACGAAGAGCCAGGGTGGTCCCAGTCCAAAGCTGCTAGCTCGAGACCCAAGTGAACAAGTGCTGATGTTTCAGGTGAGGCCCGAGGCGGGGAACGTAGGCACCCAGGTCAAGGCAGTCAGGCAGGGAGAGCGCCCTCTTACTTTGGAAAGGGTCAGTTTCAGGTATTTTTTGGTTTTTTATTTGTGTGTATGAGAGAGAAATTTTTACTAAAGGACATGTGCACTTGCCAGAGAGACAGAGGGAGACAGAGGGAGACAGAGGGCTAGAAAGTGAGAACTCACCCCCTGAGGGGATGGCCACACCGCAATCCTGTCTCCTCCAGTCTCCTCTTGGGATGTTGGACACACATGCACACGTGCCCGGTGTAAGTTTGAACCTGCTGGGTCTGGGTTTTGAACCACAGTCAACTATGTGGGAGCCCAGCCATGTAACCATTACACAATCTGTTGGCCCTAGGGTCAGCCTTTTTATTCTTCTCAAGCCGTCAGTGGTTTGGATGAAGCCCACCCCTGCTAGAGAACTGTTTGCTTTACCACGGCTACCCACTGAGTGCTAATCCCGTCTAAACACCCCATGGAGAGACCCAGAGAGGTGTTTGACCGAGTTTCTGGCCCCCATGTCCTAGTCAAGTTGAAACATGAAGTCAGCCATCGCAGTGCGGCTCGGTGCGCGCAGCTCGCGGAAGGTGTATGGGAACTCTCTGGACCTTCCCCCCATTTCTCTGTGAATATAAAAAGGCCTCTAAGATAAAAAGTCTATATAACAGAAAAACTTAGAATAAACCTCGGACTCCTCAAAGCAGAAATCTACAAGTGCGGCTGCGGGGCAGGGGGTGACTCTCACGAAGTCAGCCGAGGGGGCTGGTTAGGAGTTGGTTCAGACGTGTGCCCACTTATCACACGATCCTAGTCACTAATGGGTAATTTACCTGCGATGATGATTCCACTAGGATTGAGACAAGGATTTCTGGGCCTAGAGAAGGCAGGTAGGTAGAGAAGCCTTCAGTCGGGAGAAGTCTCCGGTTTCGACCATGCAGATCCCTCAGCACAGGCAGTCAGTCCAGGGCAATTCAAAGAAAGCCTTAAACGCAGTAAGAAAAGGTTGCTTTTAACCGTCATCCATCGGGCTGGAGGACGAATCATCGCCCAATAACGTCGGAGCTGGCAGATTTGCCAACTGCTCAGTTACGGCCTGCCACCCGTATTTGTAGATGAAGTTTTGTTAGAACAGGCTCAGGCCCATCGTGTGCTCACGGCCGTGCCTGCGTCTGCACAGTGAGGACAGAATCACACGGTGACCAGAGACGCGGAGCACAAACGCCAAGGTGTATGTCATGCTCTTAGCAGAACAACTCTGCCACCTTCTTACAAAGCTCATCAGCTGCTGTTTCCTAAGGGAGAAATTTTGCTCTTTTAATTTTATGAGGGGAAAAAATCCCCAACTTCAGAATACAATGTGGTGTCCTGATTTGGATCCTGGAACACAAACATTAACAGTACGTGAAAATCTGGGCAAGTGTGGAAAGTCTACAGTTAAGTTCAAATAAAGTCAGCCCGTGGCCTGGTGGTGGAGGTGCTTGGGTCCCACACGGCCAACTGCAGTTCGAGTCCTAGACGCTGGTTTGAAAACCTGCCATACTTGTGCCCAAATCCCAAGAGGGGAATGGAGGAGAGGGGACCACAGCATGGCCATCCCCCCAGGTGGCACTTTCTCACTCTCCCTCTTTGTCTCTGTATCTGTTTATTTCTCTCTCTTTGGTGAGTGCACGCACCCTTCAGCAACTTTTTTTTAAAAGTAGTCTAACAGTGTTAATTTCTGACTTTTAGCAACAACAAACCAACCATGGTTAAATAACATGCTAACATCAGAGTACCTCTGACTGTCCATGCAACTTATTCTGTGAATATAAAATGATTGCATTTTTAAAAATTATTTAAAGAGAAAACATCTCGACCAACAGACAGTAGGAATAAACAGTCAGACTGTGAGGTATCTGCAGGTGTGGTAATGGGGTGGCCATGGGTCAGCCGTTTGCATATGCAATAAACGTTTGCTAAGAGCACACACCAACGGTACCAAAACGCTCTCTTACAACACTGTGAGTAAGCATCAGCTCGCGCCCTAGTTCTGGTCATCCTGTCCCAGGCTCGGCGTTAGACACGGTTAAGAGTGCCGCTGATGCAGACAGTGACCTGAAAAGTAAGCGGAGTGGGTGGAGGCGGCAATCGCATTGAGAAGGTTACTGAGCAGTAGATGTGCCCTGACAGCTCGCGCAGAGGCTGAGGCAATAACGACGTCTTCCTGGAGAAAGGGCGAGTATGAGACCGGTTCCCCTTCCTCGAAGTGTTTGCGAGAGGAGGAAGTACAAAAGCGGCTTGGAACGCCTCGTCTCTGCACGGGCTGTGTCTCTTGTCAGATGCCTTCCAGATAAGAGCACCGTGCAGGCCGCCCCAAGTAAACCCAAGTGACCGAGGCTCAGGACCCATCCGGGTACGCAGCTCCATGACAGCAGATCAGAGAGACATGGGTAGCATCCTTGACAGGAAGACCACGCTCTGTTCAGGGGGTGTTCTGGGTGACTGGAGGTCAGGCCCTTCAAAAGGCAACAGTGAGAATGGAAATAAAACAGGGAAATATCTGAACAATGAAGCCCAGGCCTGTCTTCAAGCCGGTCAAACCTCGAGAAAAATGAGCAAAAGGCCAACAGTGCCCTCATACGGGGCGTCGCTT